GAAGGAGATCTCAGCGTGGTTGCTCTGCTTGAAACTCTCTCTCTCAGGTTTGAAGAATTAAAGCCTAGAGTCAAACTTTGGCACCACACAGGAATCCAGCCTGAATAACAGCCTCTCTTTATCTCAGGGACTGCACACTTAAAAGACGAACAGGCAAGAGGCTGGAACGTGTAAGATGTATCAGGAGTTAAAGAAATGTACAACATGAGCTGCAACCTCGGGGATGGTTGGGGAGGGAGTCGAGAAGGAAAAACCACCATGCAGGGCAAATAAACAGAATTGGGGATTTACAAGCATCTGAGGTAAATGATGCCCTCCAACCAAATATGAGGTAAATCCACTCTCAGCTTGCTCTCTCTTTTGAAAGCTGACATCTGAAACTATTTTAGATGACAGGCCATTATTTTTTGCAGATTCCTTCCCTTGGTGGAAAGCAGCATGCTGCTCCTCTGCTTCAACTTCAGCTGGCTTCAGGACAAAACCATAGCAACTGAGTGTTTGGTTAGTCCTGAGCAGCCACCGGCATGAAGAAGCAGGAAATTAGGAGGTTTTCTTACATTTTTCCTCCAAGGAATTCTGGAAAAGAGAAAGCATTATGATGTGGTAGAAACTTGTTTCAAAACTTTGTGATTTGGGACAACTTAGAGTTTTTTTTTCTACATGTATTTTCTCTTTAGTTGAGAAAAAAAATAAGTAGAGTGATGTGCTTTAACATTCTAATTGAGCATTTTATAAACATTTTATTTTCTCAGATTAGAGAATGATTCATTTTTGGAATCCCCATCTTTGTTAAAGAGATCTCCCACGTATCCTTCACACAAATTAAAAGTAGTTGAACACTCTATTTGGGGTCCTTTTTGAAATTCAGATATGCTAAAACCATGTTGTCTATTTGGGAAATCCCTGGGCTTCTGTCCTGAGTGATCCTGCTTTGTCTATGGAGTAACAGTTACTAGTCTTGAAATCTGTCTGCTACATCAACCTGACTAATTTGCAGGTCCCAGGCCATCTTCACTGTGTCTTGTTCTCCTTGTTTTCTTTGCTCAGTATGTCTTCCCTGTGCCTTGTTCTCCCTGGTTTTTCAACCACCTTCAGAAAGTATCGACACTCTCAATGACACTAAACGTGACTTTCATTCAAGCTGGTCAAGAGCTCTAATGCCCTAGAGGGCGTGATATTGTCTGTCCTGCAACTAGCAAGGCAATAAATGCCACCATTGAAAGTCACTGAAAATTACTAAAATCAGCTATAATGTTTTATCATATCACAGAGTGAACAGAGGAGTGAACAGAGGAGTGTTGAAGGCTTCAAAAGGTAGTAGTCATCTTTGACCTCTAGAAGGTTAGAAATTTGCATTGCTTAAAACTATAAGCAAGCATTTTGGATGCTGTATTCCAGCAGTTAAAGCTTCCCCATCAGGAAGAATGGTGCTTGGAGGTTCAGTGCATTCATCACACAAAGGTCTTGTGTGTGCACTCTGCTGAGAACATGCAGCACTCAGAAATCACAGGGGTTGCCGTACTGTCATTGTTATTAACATCCTGAGAAGTCAGTAGTTGGTCTCCACTGACTTGGCTATCTTACATCCCAGAGAAAGTAGAGATGTTAACCCAATAGCAAGAGGAAATGTTAATGAAGAGCAAATTTGTGAAAACTGAATGAAATCTGGAATTAATTAAAGGAGCTCCACAGGTTTGTTCAACCCATGCTGTCTGTTCCCTATGCAGTAATATCCCTTTCGGACACCCTGAGTTCTTCTCTGTGGACACTCCTCACTCCTCCATGGGCTTTCCTCCATGCTTTCTTGCTATTCAAATTTGCCTTGATATTATTTTACCACCAGGACCTCCATATCTAAAATATCCAAATTATTTTTCTCTTTCAAAGATCCCCTTAGGTATTACCACTTCCAAGACTGCCAGTTCCTGAGTATGTGAATGTTCACTTCATGCTCACCCATCAACTGTAAATCTCTTGTGTCATTCATCAATTTTGTGATACATCCTAGTCATTTTTCTCTTCCATCTTATAATTGAAGCCCTGAAAGTCAAGAAACTTACCCTAGCAGGGGTGTAGCTCTGTAGTAGAGCATGTGCTTAGCTTGCTCAAGGCCCTGGCTTCAATCTCCAGCAACACACACTCACACCACACACACACACACACACACACACACACACACTCACACTTACACACACACATACTCACACAAAAGGAAAAGAAAGAAAGAAAGAAACTAAAACTAACAAACATCCCCTGATCTGATTGTATGATCCCATAATCTCAATGAGTTTGAAATGCCTCAGCCTTTTAAAATGAAACTTAAATTGGATAATTTCTAGGGTTTGCTCCCTAGAAATTATTACAATAAAAATTTCATGTCTGTAATATATGAATGCATGAACTATCCATAAATATTATCTACTGAGCCATGGACCAATTTATTTTCCTTTTAATCGAAATTTAAAAATATAAGAATTAGGGATAAAACTGACGTTAAAAAATATTGAATAAAGTACACAGAGCACTTTAGATCAATAAGTTGATCAATAAATAAATTTATCAATAAATCAATTCAGAGCTGAATACAGTCATCCCAATAAAATAGACACCAAGCTAACAGAGTTCAAAGTTAAAGTTGCTAGGGGTCTAACCACTTCTCACAAAGCCACAGAGCCCAATGGCACAGCAGCCTGGGCAGCCTCTAAGAGGCTCTGTGCACCTCTGTATCCCAGGGTTGGACTGCGTGCTTCACTGCCTCCTGAAATTCTGTCAGGAATGAGACAGACATTATCACCTTATATACGTGTATGATCATACTACTGGAGTGATTCTGCACCAGGTACAGCCAGAGGATTGAGAAGTTGTGCTCCATTTGTGTACAATATGTCAAATTGCATTCTACAGTCATGTATAATTAATTAGAACAAATTTAAAAATTAAAAAAAAAAAACAGAGTTGCACCCCTGTGTCCCAGGGTTGGACTGTGTGCTTCACTCCCTCCTGAGATTCTTGACTTGGTAGCACATGACATTTGTACCCTGTTATTCCCAGCACCTGTATTTATGAGTTTCCTGGGCAACCTGCCAGGAGATGGGAGCAAAGTCCCCAAGAGCCCTGCCGTGCAGCCATTCAGAAACCTTGGATGTTGCACTGAGAGCTGAGATGCAGAGGTGTCTGCAGTGAAGCACCTGGCTTTAGAACTGCAGGAAGGATTTGGAAAGTGGAGACGAATGAAAAAATATATACAGTCTATGTAGTAGAATAAAATATGTACAAATTACTTATATAATGTGTATTGACTATTGGTATTTATTGCTTATTAAATTTATATACTATGAATTTGCAGATTTTATAAGGTAATGTTTAGTGAACTGAAATACACAATTTTTATATATTATATACAAATATGTAATAATTATTTAGAATAAACACATGCACATATATAAAATTTATGCACACATATTTTAGGGCTTTAAAAACAATATTTAGTCATACAAGATCACGTTGTTCAGCTTTGTCTCTCTGTCTCTCTTCTTTGCACCAAGGAGCATTCTGACCATTGCAGGGCCTTTACTTAGCTCTTGGATCTTTCCAGGGCCAATGTAAGATATTTACAGACACTCTTACTTATTTTTTTAAAAAATATTTATTTATTTATTTATTAATCTATGTATGTATTTATTTATTTTTAATTGTAGATGGACACAATACCTTTATTTTATTTGTTTGTTTTTATGTATGCCAGGGATCCAACCTAGGGCCTCATGCATGCTAGGCAAGCACTCTACCACCGAGCCACAACCCCAGCCCACTCACTCTACCTTTTCCAGATCATGATCATCCTTTCCGAACATTCCTGGTGAAATGGATTTGCTCCATTTCAGGCAATTAGTGATGGATCAGTAATGGATCTTTGTCAATTCTGATCCATCAGAATTGGCCTGGTCTTTTGCATTCTAAAAATCTATGAATCACCATAAACCTAAATATTCAAAATAGCTAAATAATCAAATGAACATAGGGAACCCTTCCTCGCCTTATTTTCTCTGTAGGGGTCAAGACAGGAAGGGTAACACCCTGGTTTGAGCTTGGGGGAGAGTTCGGAATAGGTAATGGCATTGCCCCAGGTTGCTCTGAGCATGTGTTCTGTCTCTTTGTGTAGGGTGCTCCAAAGTGACCTGCATCAGCTTGACCCGGGAGGCCTCCATTAAATTGTCCCCCTTGCATGGCAAACAGATTTCCATCCGCTACCTGGACATGACGGACTGCTTCGTGCTGGAGGACGAGGGCCTGCACACCATCGCAGCGCACTGCACGCAGCTGACCCACCTGTACCTGCGACGCTGCGTCCGCCTCACCGACGAGGGCCTCCGCTACCTGGTGATCTACTGCACGTCCATCAAGGAGCTGAGTGTCAGCGACTGCCGCTTCGTCAGTGACTTCGGCCTGCGGGAGATCGCCAAGCTGGAGTCCCGCCTGCGGTACCTCAGCATCGCCCACTGTGGCCGGGTGACCGACGTGGGCATCCGTTACGTGGCCAAGTACTGCAGCAAGTTGCGCTACCTCAACGCGAGGGGCTGCGAGGGCATCACGGACCATGGCGTGGAGTACCTTGCCAAGAACTGCACGAAACTCAAATCTCTGGACATCGGCAAATGCCCACTGGTCTCCGACACGGGCCTGGAGTGCCTGGCCCTGAACTGCTTCAATCTCAAGCGCCTCAGCCTCAAGTCCTGCGAGAGCATCACCGGCCAGGGCCTGCAGATCGTGGCGGCCAACTGCTTTGACCTCCAGATGCTGAATGTCCAAGACTGCGAGGTTTCCGTGGAGGCCCTGCGGTTTGTCAAACGCCACTGCAAGCGCTGCGTCATCGAGCACACCAACCCCGCCTTCTTCTGAAGGGACAGCTTTCATGGGGAGTGGTCTCCATACAAACACGATGCTCTTTAAAAGCAGCATATGTAAGCACCCACACTCACTCAGCAGCTATTTCTTTCAGGAAGATTCTTAGGAATCTGGCTTTTACTTTTCCTCATTTCTCATGGGTGACAGAGGTCAAAGAAATTAAAGGGTAAAGAACAGATTTCTATTGCAGCAAACAGTGTTTTTGGTCAGGTAATTTGTAGACAGCTTCTCCTCTCACATAAAATGTTCCCTTAGGCAGATGGCGGTCTTTAGAACTGTACCTTACTTTCCTCTCCCCACCAGCGCTCCTGAACACAGGTCACACCCACAACGTGCCACATCCCGGCCCTTAGCTCCACCCTCCCTCCATCCTCCATCTGCAACTGCCACAAGAGTATCGCAACCACAGCGCTCTCTAGAGCTCCTCTTCAAACTGCTTGGTTGACCTGAGCCCCGCCCCTTAATGTCACACCAAGCAAATTGTGGTTAAATAAGTGTCCTAAATCACTTTGAATTTACAAAGAGCTTTTCAGACCTTTTTTTAAAAAATCCATTATGGCAAGCAGCATGGTGGAAGAGACCTTTGTTTTTTTACCCAGATCTTCTGCTAACTAGCTGGGTGACCTTGGCCAAAGAACTTCACCTCTCCAGGCTTCAGCTTGCAACACTGAATTAGAAGCCACCCAGCTAGAGAATTAGTCCCATGCTGGTTTAGGATTAAGAGAACAGACATGTCAATAAGCAGCCACACAGTCATGTACCTCTTCCAAGAGAACTGATTATGTAGTTGGGCTCCTTTCAGGAGGTTCCACAGTGCCCATGTCAGTGCACATAGGATCCTATGTGTCCTTTTGCTCTCATGCGAGTACCACTCACTCTCAGTTTGTTTTGGTGGATGAGTCTATTGCACATCGTCTCCTGCCCCTCTGGATGCTATGGTTTCTGTGCACAAGTACTTTCAGCTTTCCCCTTCTCAACACTGTCTTAGCAGAGCACCAGAATGTCTGAACATGGGGAAGTTCAAATCCCCCAGTCAAGGGAGGAAAGACCCTTGCAATTTTTAATTAACAAGTGAGGCCCAAGGGAACCCATGTCCTCAAAGGTTTTTCTAATCCCTCTCAGAGCACATGTGGCATACATCAGGCACATCTGTCCTGCAGCTGGCAGAGACAGATGCTGTGGTTTTTTTGTCATTTAGATTGCATTTTGACTTTTCTCATCTATTTATTTCTTTATGCATCCAGACTTCATCACATGTAGTCTACTGGGGTTAAGTTTATAAATGTTTAATTGTGCAAATTGCCACCTTGTGTCTCCCGTAGTGGCTGTCTGCATGCATTCCATTAAAGAATACAAAGTAGACTTCCAGGTGTTTAAATACTGTGCACTCGAAAATCTCAGACAAGTTGAAGAGGGAACACATTGATAAGACAGATGCTAGTCCACTAACCAAACCCTTGGAATAGAACAATAACATCATGACAAAATATCAATTTTAAGTGGTCCTATATGGAAATAATTGACTCGCTAGTCTATTATGTGAAATCAGGTAATCAGGAGAAATTTCATGCTCATGAAATGTAGTGTCATTTATTAGTAAACCCAAGACCTTTCCCAAATTAGTCTCTGACCACACCCTTCTTCTTTGCTGCTGAAACAGCTCATGTATTTCCTTCCTAAAGGGGCCACCATCCAATTCCAGAACCTCTGCATTTCCTAGCCAACTGTGCTGACTTTGTTTCAGAGCCAGCTTACATACCACTCACTTGACAACTGCACTCCTACTGTAGGCTCCCGTGCACATTGTAGTCTTATGTCAGGAAGGAGGAGCTAGAGAGATGAGATGAGTCTGTCCAGGAGGTTTCTATCATACATCATATGAAACATGGCTTTCTGTCCAACTGACATCATCCTCAACCCAGATACGCAATCAATGCAATGTGCCATGAGGGGAGGTGACTTGTTTGGCTGGGGACAGCATTTGGTGTTAGCCATAGAGTTTAGAACCATAATAGAATTTGAAAGGAACATACCTCTGGTCTGTGACTGTTGACTATCCATGGTTTCAGAATTTAGGAGTCACAGATGATTGTCCTTCACTTTTGGCTCTGGGATATTCCAGATAAGCTGGTTTAATGCTCTTGGAATGAGCAGGGAGATCCAGAACAGCTCCCTGAACCATTCTGAGTGTCTCTGTCGCCACCACCCGACCACATCACCTAACCAATTTTCCAAGCATGAGACCAAGACCACTTCTCACACTGGTTGCCTGCCCAGCACATGCTGTCTTTCCCAGTTTCTCCCCTTTCCTGGTGTCCTCTTCATCCATTCTGCTCTCCCTTGGGGGTATGAATCTGTGACAGAGGTTACTGGGAAAACAGCTCAGCAGATTTTTAGAGACCAAGCAAAAGTGCTCAGCAGAAAAATTTATCTGTTTTAAAACATTGCTTCCTTCCTGGCTCTGCTAAATTGAATGCTCATTGTTTTTGTAACTCTAATGTTCAAATCACTGCGTGCTGTATGACTCTAGAAAGCCTTAATTTACTACCACCAAGAAATAAAGCAATATGTTGGTAATTAGGCTCAGCTTTTTTCTTTCTTTCTTTTTTTTTTTAATACCCTTGTCAAAGGAGAGTTGTATTCAGATGCAGATACTCAAAAGCAAGCAAGAAACTTGCTTTATGTTTAAAGACAGCAGAAGCCAAGTTTCTGCCTCTGCTGTCCCTTTAAAATCAGATCCATGGTCTTCTCATCTAATGACTTTGGCTTAAAATTAGCACTAAGTGAAAAAAAAAATTGCCTTCAGTGTATAGTTCACGTCTTCAATTCCTTAATCCAAACTGTTGGTGCAGTGTTTGGAATTTGTAATTTAGCATATTTCAGGGAGCTATATGTGGTATATTTTATAACATCCTCAGCATACACTGGGACAGCACCCTAAGCAAACATGTTATTATTTCCGTAGCAATACAGAACACACTCTGTGCAGGATCATTACAGACTACAAATAGCCTTGCATCAGTTCAGGTCAGATTTTGTTACCAAATTAATTTGTGCAATAATGAAAAAAGTCCATTTTTCAGAACTTTCTGGGTTTCAGAATTATGGATGAGTAATTTTGGATCTTAATATATTTTGCTCTGGCCCTGGTTATAGATCTTGGAGGAATCTTCATGATTATTCTGACAATTAGATATTACAAACCCAAAAACAAATGAACCAAAACAGTGTTCGAACATTAGGACCTGGAAAGAGAATAAGGCAAGTTGATCTAAAAGGAAAAAGTGTCAGTCATTTGGAGAGAGAGCAATGCCAGATCCCTCCCTCCTCACCTAAACTCTTAGATCTGAGCTAATTGGAGAACTCCATCCTTAACAGCCAGAAAGGCTTGAAGTAATATTAATTTTAAATGTATTAGTCCTCAACTTTCTTCTCACCCTGGTTGCTTTAATAACTCTCACATAAACCAGTAGGGCTCTTAATTGCCCTGAGACATAATTTCAGATGGCTTGATGCACCTCTTCTCAGGATCTCAGAATAAGACTAGCTGAAAGTAAAAACCATTTCTTGAGGTTCATGAATTCTTAAGCTGACTTTTGTTGACAACTAGAAAAAGTCTTTAGGGGCTGGGTTGTGGCTCAGGGATAGAGTGCTCACCTAGCACGTGTGAGGCCATGGGTTCAATCCTCAGCCCCACATCAAAATAAATAAATAAAATAAAGATATCTTAAAAAGAGAGAGTCTTTAAGGAGTTTGACTTGATATTAAAAGTGTGCAAAATAAAAAGATCGAGTATTTTATGGAAAAAAAAAGTTTTATTATGTACTGCTTTGCTGTCTAAATTATCACAGAGAAGTCACCAAAGTAGTGCATTTGTTCAATAGCTGGCAATGAAGAATAGCTCAGAGAGAAGTTGATCAAAAGAAAGATTGACAACAGAAGAGGAAAAGGGAACATTAAAATAGGGAAATATTGCAATGAAAATGTTGACAGAAAATCTGTGAAACTAAATTGATTTTCCTCTTGTGTGCTGTTGGTCCATGGTTTCTTCATTCTGTTCTGTACACCACAAGTTGTCCTTCTGCAGCAGGGAGAAATACAGCACAGGGTGGGGAGAGCCTATCATTTGTCTACGGTGGATACTGATGCTGTCACTGAGGTTTTCCTAAACATAGTTCCAGTCGCGAGTAAGGTGACCATCATGTGGGTAAAGCCGTTCACTTGAGGTGAGAAGTCGTCTCTAAGATACTCAGATGGGGGCTACTGCATCCAGAAATGCACCCAAATATAGTTATGCATTCTTTTCTCTTTTCATGCATCAGTATCTCCTAAGCCACAAGCCTCTCTTGTAGAGCCCTTTTTAACCTCTTAAGCAGGAGGCCATTTAGCATTTTAAGATACACTGGATGAAAGAACATTTCCACTTGTGAGTTGGAAAAGTCATAATCCCTTCCTAGAAAGAAAACAGATGTGGCCTTTCCTGCAGAGCTTGCTCAGGAAGTATCTGCATCTCAGATGGCAATCTCGTGGACGACTTAGGAAGGCTGCCTTTAGGTTCTGATTGTCACTGAAGCATTTAGCAGTGAGCCTCATCCAGGTTTCTGAGGGTGGCCTTGCTGGACCACTAAAAATGCTTGACCTAAATGTTTCCAACTAGTCATTTTTTATTGTGGAACATTTGTCTTTGCAGCTGCTCAGCTACTGAATTTTACTCTGATGAGATCGGTGTATTTAAGTTCTTTCCCCATCTGATGAGCAATGACTGATGAAGACTGTAGACTGCAATCATTTTTCTTCTGAACAAGGAGGTTCAAGAAGTTCCAATCACAAACATATAAATAAATCTTTACTACTCATTGACCATCTATTCTATATAAGATACCAAAACAGATTCTGGGTGAATAAAAGAGCTCAGATCAAACACAATAAAATTAGGTAATAAGTTAAGGTTTGGTAATGAAATTTTTAAAAAGCATGGCAATATGCACTAACCCAACAAGTGTTTATTAAGACCCTAATACATGTCGGGGTCCTATCCTGATTGAATTTACCAAAATAACAATGTTAAGAGAGAGAAATAAGGTTTAGGGTCACCTCTTAGGGGAAGAGACCCTTGAACTGGGTTGTATACAGTCTGAGAAGATGGGCATCAAACAGTAACAAACCATGATGCAGTACATGGATCCCATTCAGAGAAACTGTATTTGATAAGGTTGATGAAGTAATTTCCATAAGTTAACATTATCAAAAGATTACACTAAGGTTAACTTTATTAATGCCTTAGATCAGTTATGTAGAAACAGCAGATTCTGTTTGTAGACACACATATACACCCAGATGTATATTTTATTGGATGGGAACATTGTAAGGATACCACACTGAAACACAATTTCTTTGACAAAGTATCCAAGAATCTTACAGAAACTTACCTGTCTTCCCAAACAGCATGCCAACAGCAGTCCAAACGCAGCTATATGACTTTGAGCCCAGCTCAGAGAAAGGGTAAGCTGGCCCCTCAGTAACCCTAGGATTTTTCCACCATCTTGGGTACTCCTTATTTCTACTCTGATTGTTGCATATCTATGATGGAAATAGAATAGTCAAGGTTGCTCAGTTTATCATGGCTCTTTAATGATAAACAGACCATGCCGGTTATTTTCAGAACAGTGGGTGGCCCAAATAAGGTTGATTAAATAGCCTTTAAAATTGCCAAGAAATGGTTTTTTAATATAAATTCACTTTGATGATGAGTTTTTTGAAGCTTCAAATTCTATCAGTGTTGTGAATGTGAAGTTATCTGCCCACAGTAATAATGACTTGAACAATGAATACCATAGGAAACTTTTAAATCCCACGTGTCTGCAGGCACTGACGGCAGCCCTTCTGGCTTCTCAGAGCCACAAGTGTCTCCCAGAATCTGAACAGGCTTGTTGAGCCAGATAGGAAGAAAAAAAGATACAGGAGAGAGGATTTCCAATTACAAAGATTAACCAGTAATTGGTATTTCCTTTTATTCTAATCTCTTTCCAACCACTAATGAACATAGCCACTCTGTATCAATACATTTTTTTAAAAAACAGTCTTCACATCATGAATGTATTCTTTGTAGGGATTTACATTAAAAATGCAAGCAAACTTATCATGGCCTTTTTCACTTATGAGAAAGTAGATAAAGGAACAAAACTGTCACAACTAATAAATAACTTTTTTTCTCTTATCTCACAGGCTTTTATTCATTATTTTATTTAGATGAAGACCAAAGTGGACATAATTACCTTTGAACAATTTAAAAATTTTCACTCTGCAAGAATAACTACCCAAATGCACTGGATTTCAATTATACCTTTCTCATTTTGCAATCCTTCCCTCTAATAATAAAGAAATGTTGATTTTCCATACTTTGTTGACACTTAAAGAAAGTGCCCAGATCATTTTGCCCAACAAATCCTTGCTTTAGTTGAAGAACCAGACAAGGGGGAATTCAGACCATTCCTCTTGTTCTTTGCAAATGCATAAGCAATTATGTGATTTATGACGTAGTTGATCTATATGAATGGCATCTGTGCAGCAAAGCCTTTCCATGAGCCGGATGGAGCTGTGGGACTCTATGTTTATAATTTTAAAGCATGCAAAGAATAATGACCATGGGTGTGCTGGAAGGCTGGAGATCAAGAGACTGGGAATTTAAACACAAAGAGAGGCTCAAATAATGACCTCTCACTTACTTAATGAAAAACAGAGTCTCCTCCCAGATTTCCAAGCGGGCACTATTTCACTGGTACCTTCGCCTTGGGGGCTCCTGTGTGTAATGTTTCTTTTTAAAATAGCACACATAGGAAGGCAATGGGGAATTCAAACACTGCCTTGGGGAGAGCATTAGTCTCCCTTCCTTTAAAAACTTGTGCTTAATCCCAAATGCAAGTGGCAAAATATTTCTAAGCGTGATCAAGTTATGTAATGACTCCATTTGCTTTTATAAAAAGAAAAAAAAAACCATACATTCTCAGGTGCTGAGCATTTCTGTTACTTTAGTTTCACTTACCTGAACTTCATTTTCCTTTTTGCCTCCAGGCTCCTATGACTAATGCTGCACAGCCAATAGCTAGCTAGTTCTGGCCAAGGAGGAGAGTGACCTTTCTTATCAGATGTCACTGATAAGTGATGAGTGATGCAAAGTCTTATGATGTCATCAATTCCATGGCAAAGTTCCTCTTTGGGAATTGGGAACCCAATGCTGAGCTTTTTTGGGATATAAGCAAAGACTTGGGAAAATTTGACCAACAGACACCTTTGGCTTAAACTAATAAGTACTTGGTAATCCGTATGTGATCACAAATGCAACTATTATCATTTGGATATGAGGTGTCCCCAAAAGCTCCTGTGTTAATGCAGGAATATTCAGAGGTGAAGTGATTGGACTGTGAGAGCTACATCCTAATCAGTTCATTCCAGTGTGAATAGACTGTTGGGTGGTAATAGATGAGGTGTGGCCCGAGGAGGTGGGTCCCTGGAGGGCATGTCCTGGAAGGGTTCATCTTTCTTGCAGCCACTTCTCCTTTTGCTCTCTCTGCTCTCTT